TCTCAGACCAGTCCAGTTGAGAATACTATACCTGTTATCATCAGCAGGTAATAAACCATTTCTATGTCCTGCTAATGTCATTATGGATACTTTTTCAAAACAGTCAAAATAGGTTCTTGCAAAGAATTTACAGTTCTCCCATACCCCATCCTGTAGTCTATGCTGTGGGTCACCACCTGTCATTATCTGCCCTTGAGGTCATATCCAATGGGAGCAATGAAGTCATGGGTCTCATCTAAAATTATTCAAAAAGTGTGTGTGTGTGTGTGTGTGTGTGAATTTATCTGACTGCAATCTGATACTCATCAGATACTCAAAGGGATCTATGTTCCAAGAAAGGGAGATAGATTAGTATTACTATTGATTTTGGTTGGTTTGTTTATTTGGAGTTGAGAGGAGCTTGATAAATAGCAAGGGCTGTAGCTTTTCCTCTTTGAAGTTCATTCCTTTTTTTTTTTTTTAAATTGTGGGCTGAAGTCTGCATCCAGAGGGAGTGTGCAAAGCTGAACACACAGAGGCATTTGAAAACTGTGCATTTGGACTGCCCAGCCACCTGCACAGCTGCCAGCAGCTGCTGGGGTTTCATCTTGGGAACAGCTCTCTGGGGTCTGGAGACCTGGGATCTGCACCTTCACTGCCTCATTAGATGATCTTTACTTTTGTGAAACAGTAAATAGCAATCCTTGCGATTCTCCCGAGAATCTGAAAAAGCCTCTGTTCCTAAAACCACTTAGGAATCTTCTGGGAAAATCTCTGGGTTTTACTTAAATAGACCTAGCAGTGACCTTTTATTTTATTTATTTTTTAACATTCTCTTTGCTAGATCAAAAAAAAAAAATAAAAAGACAATTAAAAGTTGTTACTGGTATTATCGTGGCACAGCAGTTAGCGGTTGTAAAACGAACAAACGCAAGGCACCCATTGAAAATGTGATATGCTTTATAAATGCTAAATAATAATAACGATGTCACAAGGCTTTCATTTTTAAACTGTCTTAATTTCATTCTCAGTTTGAGATTGCAGATTACAGTAGTTAATTATAGAAATTGGCCCAAAGTGAAACCTTAAATCAGATTTCCATTAAAGCGCATGACTGCAGCAAATGACTGTATAGTGGGAGGGAAAGCGAGAATGGTGAGTGAGGTCTTTCCGCCACCCCGGGTGGTGATTTTCCATAGCGCAGTATGGCCCACTGTGAGTCCTCAAAACTTCACTCCCCTGAACTGAGGATTCTGTGTGTCTTACTGTGAGCCTCTATGTCTTACTGCTCCTCTCACATTCTCTCAAATTCTCACATGGCTGCTCTAGGCTTCTCTCTCTCTCTCATGCACTCACTTTTCGTTCTGTCTCTCTTTTATCACTTTCCCGCTCCCTCCCAAGGAGATGCTTTTAAGACTTGCCTTCACCTGCTCTAGAAAAGGAAGTAAATGCAAAAGGAGCCGAATTCCCCCTCTCTGCCTCACATGCATCTTCTGGGGTCATTGCACCATTCAGTCTGTAAGTTCCTCCATGAACTGAGTTGCTGACTTCTCTGCCTTTCTCCTGACTGCTTGCTTCTACCAGAGAGCCAGGTGTTTCCCTCTCTGCTGGAACATCACTTGTTCCAATGCCTCACTCATCACTATCCCTGTTCTGGTCTTGACTTCATGGGGGTGTTGATAGACCCAGAATTGTAATTTTCAGTTTCCTAGTCTGGCTCTCAAGTTGATCTTTTAATTCCTTGAGGGAAGTGATGGTATCTTATTCTTCTCCATATCCCAAGCACTTACCTCTGTCTTGTACGAAGGAAACAGTCTTCATGTATCTATTGAGATTAATTTATTCTTTAAATCATTATTTATTAGATGATTGCATCATGTCTTGGATCATGCTGGAAAAAAATGGGTAGTCCTTGTTTTAAAGGTGCACAAAGATAATTCACATAGGAAAGTCACATTTTAGAAGTGAGAAAAAAAGGATGAACTGCACTGAGACCAGAAATGATCCATTGCTCAGTTTATCTAACAGAGCCAAATATTTTTTTCCCAGTTGAGTTGGTTGGCTTACTTTTAGGCACAAGTTTTTGTAGGAAGAGTATCTTGTTTTTAAGGAATGTAGTCTTTTTTTTTTTTATTTTAAATTTTTTTTATAATTACCTGAGGGCATGAACACTTGTCAGAGAGAAAGGAAGTGTTAGCTACTGGAGTGTTGTCATGCTGCAGTCCTTTTTCCTCCTTTTCTCCATCCAGAAAGGATTTGGGGCATACATACACTCATGCCTGGTGTGGCTTTTAAGTTACCGGGGCCAGGACATGAACCACTGTTGGCCATGTGAGATCCAGCTTTCTTTACACAGCACCTGGCTGCTGACTACTCGGCTGACTCAGTATCCATATTTGATGTTGGGCTCTCCTTAAATACAGCGAGATATTGACGTATGAGAGACTCATAGGAGGGGCTGCTGAGGCAGCTCCAGGTCCGCATCTCCTGTCAGACTCTCACTCCAGGCCCTTCTCCCACTGAGTAGACTTGAATCATGGGGTCACAAGCATCTTTCCTCCTAAACCCCACTTCTGCCAAGTTAGATGAATTTCTGTAAATTCACCATGTATGTTCTAACTGTTCTACAAAACAATCAGACCTTTGGAAATGGATTAAACAGAACTCACCCTGACTTGGTGCAATGGGCGAGTGTCTCTAAGAGATGACGTGTGAACTCGCCTTAATGAATGTGCAGGTTGGAACATGGCAGAGGTGTGCAGGTGCCAGTGTGTGCTTTACTAGAAAGCTTTGCTCTTCTGCACAGACCTTAGTGAGCCTCAGCAGTTCCTGTGTTTCCATCCTGGACCCCATGGAGTCATTATCGCTCCTGAGTGTTTTTCTTCCATTGTTCTGGCAAGTTTCTCTCCATCCCACGGTTATTTGGAAACTACTGCTGTACCAAGCCTCAGTGCTAACAGCATTTAATAGCTGTCATTAGGAAGCAAGCTTCTGCTAACCAGTCAGCCTGCTGTGAACGGTAATGGGAGAGTTCTTTTTTGGGAGTAGCCCCAATCTCTAGTTGGTTCGAAAACTATTGCTCATTTATTTTATTCTTAAGACATTACCTTTTTATTGAACTTCATTGAATTCGTGTTCTCATTATATTAGATTTCAACGTTTTTGCACGCCAAGAAAGGTTTTCTTACTTACATTTTCTCCCTAGGTAACCTACCCACTTTCATCACTTCTTATTGAATAAATGCATGTATAACTATTCATTTAATACATGTAAATACATATGTTAAATATTTCACATACATTATCTCATTTGAGCCTTTTAACGACCTTCTTGACTAGATACTGCAGGGTGAATACCCCTTATCCAAAATCCTGAGACTAGAAGTGTTGAGGATTTTTTATTTTTGTAATATTTACATATACATGAGGTACTCTGGGAGTGGGGCCCAAGTCTAAACACAGAATTTATTTATGTTCCATATGTATCTTACATACATAATCTGCAGCTGCTTTTATGCAATGTTTTAATAATTTTGTGCATGACATACTACGTGGGCACACTTGCATGGGGGGATCTGAGTGTGTGCAGAAAGGATAGAAGATATATTACAACCGAAGGGGACTGAGAAGGTCTTTTTTTCCTTTGGGAACTCTTAATAAACTGTGCTGTATATCTGTGTTTTGCCTGACCTGTCACATGAGGTCAGATGGTGGAATTTCCACTTTTGGCATCATGTCGGCACTCAGAAAGTTTCAGATTTTGGAGCATTAGATGTTACATGACTTGCCTAGGGTCCACGCTCTAGCAGTGGGCATGAATAAACCAATCAGTGGGCATTCTAGAGAGCTGACTTTGAACCTCACCACTGCTACCTGTTATTACCTACATGACCTTTGGCTACATCCCCTGAATGCACCCAGTGTCTTTATCAGCTAGAGGGCCAGTTATTACCATACTTAACGAATAGCTTTGTGGGAAGGATCAAAATAAAAATGAGAATTTAAGTAATGGCACTTTCTAAACAGTTAAGTGCTATAGAAATGTAAGATACTCTTTCTTCCTGTGTTTTGTGTAGTTAATTTACCGTATTGAAATAACGGGATTTAAAAATGGCATGCAGCATGCACGTACATGCTTTGCAATTAGTGTAGTATAATTTAATTGTGACTCCATTGTTGGAATTTTGATGCCTCCAGCTTGATGAATAGCCATTTTCCGTGGGTGTTATCAATTAATCTAGGTAATGAATTCTCTTCATTATCTCATTCTTCATGTTAATTATACAGGATTTTCTTATGCCTATTTATCAAGTCAGGACAAGCACAATTTTTTTGGGTCCACATGCCTTTGAATATGGAATGTGTACAAACAGGTTAACAGGACAAGTTTAAATTTACATTTTTTAAAAATTCCAGTCAATGACTCGACTTTCTCTACATCATTACTTATGTTATGAGCTTGTTTCTCTTTATTGTAGGGGTCTTTTTTTTTTTTTTAAATCAAAAGGATCGTTATCTAAGGTAATTAAGCTATCTCCGACTTTCGAGAATATAGCTCTAGCATATCAAAGAGGTATTAAGAAAGCTTGGAGAAGTTTGAATATTTACTTAATAATACAGAACAACTTAGTAGTAGGTTCCTGGTTCGGAAATATTCCAGGAGACACCATGACAGATCAAAATTTAAGCATAAACTATGGAGAGAAAGGACATAAGTGTATGAAATTTTAAAGGACATCACACACACACTCACACACACACACACAAAAAAAACAACAATTAAAAGATAGTATATAACAAATAGACAAACAAATGGTGATTTAAATCATTTGAAATTCAGAGGAGTGCTTAATGGGATAATATTGGCTGACTTGGTAATGTTAAATATTGATATTTATTCATTACTGTTAATTTTCTTAACATGTTTTTATATTTTGTGCTTTATGTAAAAAAAAAAAGAGAGAGAGATCGCGGCTGTTAGCATGTTGGTGAGCAACTTTCTGTATATTTTTTAATTTCAGGTTGAAGCCATCCTTGTCAACATTTTTGGTGGTATTGTCAACTGTGCCATTATTGCCAATGGGATCACGAAAGCCTGCCGTGAGCTAGAACTCAAAGTACCCCTGGTGGTCCGGCTTGAAGGTGAGTCACGGTAGATTCCCTTGTTACCCCTTCCCCAAGGTCAGGTGATCAGCATCTTCTGGACTCACACATGTCCTGAGATAACTAAGGAAATGTTCGGTTGAATACAATGAACAAACGTTGCACAACGGAACCTCTCTGAACCTCCAACAGGGTAAGATAAGTTGCAACTCTCCAAGAAAGGCAGGTATGTTAAGACTCCACGTTCCCCAAATTTACTCCACAGTGTAAGTCCCTTTATTATGAAATGTTTAATGAAATTAAGTATTCTGGAGGAAATGGTCTTGAGTAGTGCTGCTCTCAAAGTATTATTCATCATGAGAGTACAACAGTTCTCGAACATTTTGATCTCAGGACCTCTTTTCTTGTTAAAATTGAGTACTCCAAAGAGCTTTCGTTTAGTTTGAGTTATTCCTATCAGCTGCTATCAATTGATTTAATTAATTAATTTGGTAATAGGAATTACATGGAATTTTAAACATTACTTCCTTTTTTATAATAAAATTTTCAGTTTCGTATTTTCTATTTTTAGATGATATATTTTACATAGTAAAGTATATTTGTTACATATGCTATTAAAATTGACTTCTAAAGAATTTAAGAATAGTAGCATCATTTTACAGTTTCATAAATCCCTTTTTAAAATCTAGCTTAATATTTGTTTCTCCATTAAATCTTTTGTATTATGGTGCTTTGGTTGAAGCATATGAAGAAAATGTGGTATCACAGACATACATATTTAGGAATGGAAGGAGTTTTTAGTAGTTTTTAAATTTGGTTGTGAATTTTTTTCTTTGGTACTATACTAAAAATCTGTTAATAATAGTTTCTTTATTAAAGGTTAGTTTTCATGTAGAATCTGAAACTACCTCAGTGAACTTTCCATACTCTATTATATTAAAATCCAGTGGTCTGTCTTGCCCATTAAGTGTGTTTTATCCATGTATGATTTGTAATATCGTGCATTGATCATTTGGAAAATTTCAGATTATGCAGTTCTTCTAAAGGTTGGTACATTTCAACTTGCAAAAGAAAATCACATTTGTCGGGAACCAGCAGTTAGCATAATGGCTATGTCGCTGGACTCCCACGTAGTCGACCGCGGTTCGTGTCCCGGACCCGGTGGCTTAAAACTCACGCCGGGCGCGTGTGCGTGCGTGCCCAAGATCCCGAGAGGAGAATGGAGGAGAAGGGATTGCGGCGTGACCATCCCCCCTGGGGGGTGATTTCTCGCTTTCTGTCTCTATGTCTCTCTCTGTCTGAGGAGAATGGAGGAGAAGGGATTGCGGCGTGACCATCCCCCCGGTGAGGTGATTTCTCGCTTTCTGTCTCTATGTCTCTCTCTGTCTGTCTGGCGAGCGCACGCGCCCTACAGTGAAAATCTCTCAAAAAAAAAAAAAAAAAGAAAGAAAGAAAATCACATTTGTTAATATCACCATTCTCATCAGAAAATTTATAAGTGGTAGGAAGCTGTCTAGTTTACAAGACATACACAAATTTTTAAGAATTGAAATTTCACTTTAAAGTATACATTTTATCAGCCACAGAGCAATCAGTTGTTCTCTTTGATGTAACAAATTCACTTCATTCATTTTTGAGAAGATGTCTGCCATGAAGCCAAGTCTGAATAACCGTGTGTGTCGGGTATTCTGTTAAGTAACAGTGGTGTCCATGGAAGAGTAGGTTAGCTCAATACTCAGACACAGTTGCACAAATACCTTTCCTTGGAACACCCATTCTAGTTCATAATGTCACAGAAGGGCCTTCAGTGTACTTGCCATTTGATCAAAAGAGTACTAAAAAGATGTGGATGCAAGGAGTGAGATTTAATAAAATTAATAAATTCAATAATATTTTACCATTCATCAAGGACATTTTTACCTGAAACTGGTAATATTTTACTGTAAGTATGTGGCAGTATAAAGTACAGTGGACACCAGTACAGTTTGTTGACACTGCCTGGATTCCATGGGAATGTGCCTGCACTTTTATCCACCCACCATTGCTTTTGCACTGTAAGTGCAGACGCCAACATGGTATTACCATCATTACTACTACCACAACTGCAAACATAAATTTTACCTTAGGGACACCCCCTCAACACACACAAGCACATACTCCAGTTCTATGGGCCTCACTTTGTGCTCCACTATATTAGAGAAACAAAAACAGACGTATTATTGTGAAAACGTTCGTAAGTCCTACCCACATCTTTGACAAACTCGCATTCCACTCACCCAGGAGCTCCCTTGTGTCTATGTCTACAATATCATTCTTGGGATGGTTAATTTCCCAACTCTCTGTACAGGGCTGTGCTTCCCTAGAGACCTTCTCCTCAAGATAAAGATATTCTGACCCCACCGTGTATCCCCAGCCATTGGAGTGCTGGCTCCAGAACAGCCACAGCTTGTTTTTCTCCTACACTTCTTTCTCTCTTTGTATCTCTTTCTTTTCTTACTCTCTGAACATTTTCATTCTATCTTCTTTTTTGGGACTGTCGCTTAGATCTGCACCATGTGGACTTGATAGAAATAATGACCACAAAGGTAAAATAAGAATAGCAGAACTTCCAGTTGACAAAGTTTAATATGGACATTAAAACCTATCAGTGAATTAAATCTTCTTAAAAATGGAAATGCAACATAATTGACCCCTATAAAAGCAGTAGAAGGAAAACAGTTGGCAGGGCTGCAGTGAAAATAATTGATCTAGGAGTTAATGAGTTCATTTGTATCAGTACAATTCAGATTGAAATGTTGATATCAGACTGTTTTGGTGGTCAAAGGGACCAGTGACTCTAACTGTAAGAATCAACTTCCCTCACTTTTGGGGGGTTTTGTTTTATTTTGTTAAGAGAGGTTTTTGCTAAAGGGTGCACATGCACTCACCAGAGAGACAGAGAGACAGAAAGTGAGAAATAACATCTCAGGCGAGATGGCCACACTGCAGTCCCTTTGCCTCTGTTCTCTCAGGATTTGGGGCACACATGCATATGTGCCCAGTGTGAATCTTATGCCACCAGGTCTGATACTCAAACCGTGGTCGAACACATGGGCGTTCAGTAATGTAACCATTACGCCACCTGCTGATCCCTCCTTCTCACATTTTTAAAGGGAAGGAGCAGGTTTCTGCAGTCGAATCCTGCCAGTGTGTCTGTCACTAGGAAATAACTAGAAATGGGTGCATACTGTGGCGGACTCATTCTTTCTGGTGATCTTCCTTGTGCCTTGTCAGCAGAGGCTCATAATTTACTAGTTATTGATGCATTTCTAGAAAACAAGGTTATCCCACTGTTAATATTTTCCCTAAAGGAGTACTTCTTTTATGTTCACACTATGAGTATTATCGCAGAAGTATTCTATGATCCTTGTTATACCCAAATGGAACACATGCTAAAATATGCAAAATACTATATTCAAGAGTATCTCCCTTAATAATCTCTGCTGTTTGTATCAGAGGTTTGTCTGAGGTACTAGATTTGAAATGTCTACGTTCTGTTTTTTTTTTTTTTTTTTTTTTTTACTTTTGTTTTTTTTTTTTTTTTTTTTTTTTTTTGAGAGAGGTTTTTGCTAAAGGGCGTGTGCACTTGCCAGAAAGACAGAAAGTGAGAAATCACCCCCGGGGGGGGGCACACCGCAACCCCTTCTCCTCTAGGGATCTTACGCAACGCACGCACATGCGCCTAGCGTGAGTTTAAGCCACTGGGTCCGGGACTCAAACCACAGTCAACTACATGGGAGTCCAGTGACACAGCCATTATGCTAACTGCTGGTCCCAATGTCTACATTCTTATATGATCACATTTGCATCTTTTAATTAAATGTACTTCCAAGGTATATGGTTGTGGTTATTTAAGTAATTAATATTTTAATAAGTACCATATGCAGGTTTTTGAGCTTTAGGCATTAAGGAGGATAACAAAAAACATGAAAAAAAATCTCAATTGCTAGATAACTGGAGAAATAAACAAAAATAATTTACAATACAAGACAATATAACAGACTTTAAAGTTTGAGGAAAATGGAATTAGCATACAAGTTTATTTAGCTGAAAAGAAATACTGAAACCTGGACTAGGGACCAGCAGATGGCGTAGTGGTTATGTCGCTGGATTCTCACATAGCCAACCACAGTCTGAGTTCTGGACCTGACAGCTTCAAACTCACACCGACTGCACGTGCATGCATGCCCAAAATTCCAAGAGGAGAATGGAGAAGAAATTATGGCATGGCCATCCTCCCACCCCCGGGTGGTGGGGTTAATTTCTAGTTTTCTGTCTCTCTCTCTCTCATAGCAGAAATCTCTCGGGGAGACAGGTGGGGAGAAAGAAAGAAAGAAAGAAACCCAGGTCAGCAGGTGGCATGGAGGTTAAGGCATAGGATCCCACATGGACAACTGCATGGTTCGAGTCCTGGACCCAATGGCTTGAAAATCACACTAGGGGCATGTATGTGTGCATGTATGCATGCCCAAAATCCCAAGAGGAGACTGGAGGAGAATGGATTGTGGCACGGTCATCCCCCTCGATGGGTGATTTCTCAGTTTTTCTTTGTGTGTATGTCTATCTCTCTCTTCCTCTTCCCCCCTCCCCCCTCCCCTCTGTGTATCTCTCTCTGTCTCTCTCTGGCAAGCTCACACATCCTTTAGCAAAAACTGAAAAAAGAAAATAAGAAACCCATGCATAGTTTTTTAATAATACATATTTTCTATGAACTCTTTGAATACTGCTCCCGCCATTTATGTAAAATGATAACACATGTTTGCCCTCCTGGGAACTGCTCTGTCTTTGTAGCAAAGCCATTGGGGGTCCCAGGCAGCCACCAGTCTGGCTTGCTGAATCTTTGGAAACATTGATGATGTCATGATGCCTACTGTATCATAAGGAATTGTTGTGATAACTCAAGATGAGTTCAAAAAGGACACTATCTCCCAAAGGCCACAAATGTCCTGGTGGTCTTTTTTTTTTTCTTTTTTTTTTTTTTTTTTATCACTACTCTTCTT